AAAAAAAAAAAAGAAAGATAGATAGGTTTACAGAGTAAGAAAGCTTACAAAACAGGATATATTCACCACAGACAGTGAATATTGCTAGGGCAAGTAGGCAAGGCAGAGGTCTTTTTTCTTTTCTTTTGGCCAGGGCTGGATTTGAACCTGCCACCTCTGGCATATGGGGCTGGCGCCCTACCCTTTTGAGCCACAGGTGCCACCTAGAAGTCTTTTTCTTTTAATTATATATTATCTACAATGATCACATATGGCATTTCTGGGAGAGGGAAGCTTTATCTTTTCTTTTATAATCAGAAAAGACTTCTTTATCACATTGAAAGAAATGAAGAAAGCAGTGTGTTACCGTCCATCCAGATATACTGTATCTTACTGGTTGCTAAGCAGCAGATTCTGGGGTTCCTATATCATGCTTATCTCTAGTTGCAGGAAAAAAAGACAGGCACTCAGGCATAAACACGCCCTACCCAATGGCACCATATTCACTCTGGGGAGTAGCCTCAAAAGCACATACAGTGAATTCAAGTCTCTACTCAAACCACACCCCATCTCTCACATTAACACTGTTAAGTTCACTTCTGACATGGCACAGTATTCTTCACACAAGCTCCACACACCATATTGCCACCCACTCATAACCGAAGGATAATCTGCATTTAACTAAACTCACCCATGTCAAAAATCACCATCATTCTGGATATTTCTCTATGAACTGACAGACACAGGTAAAGATAAGCCTTGCTGCTTTCTGAAAATGGCCAATCCCGCAATTTCTTACTGCTGCAGAGATGGGTGGTTCCCTTGGTGAAGCTATAAATTCCAATGTTCAATGGCATTCCCTCCCAACAGCAGAATCTGCAATACAGAAACTCTTCCACAAAAAAAGCCCAATTCGTGTGGCAACAACGGTAAAGAGAATCCTGACCCAGCACATTCTCTCCACGCTTCTCCTCCTGCTTTGTCACAGGAATCACACCAGCCAAGTCTTATACTATGCCGCCCTGCTGCAGCAGCAGCCATCTTTGACTCAGCCCTGCTGCAGCCCCAGATGAAAACCAAGACAGCAAGGACAAAATGGCAAAGGACTTTAAAAAGGAAATTGTAACAAATAACAATGGATCAGGCATCAGGAAAATGTTGCCCTAATCTGCCATGTCATTAAAAATAGGGCTTTAAGAAAAAAAAAATGATGCCTATGAAGGCAGGACATCGTGACTCACATCTATAATCCTAGCACTCTGGGAAGCTGAGGTGGGGAGCATCATTTGAGCTTAGGAGACTAGCCTAATCAAGAGTGAGGACCTCTCCCCATCACTACCAAAAATAGGAAAAATGAGCTAGGCACAGTGGCACATGCCTATAGTCCCAAGTACTCAGAAGGCTGAGGCAGGAGGATCACTTGAACCCAGGAGTTTGAGGTTGCTGTGAGATATGATGACACCACTGCACTCCAATCAAGCAACAGAGCAAGATTCTATCTCCAAAAAAAAAGAAGAAAAAGGCTCAGCAGAGGTTCTAAATACTCCTACATCTGTTAACTGATGGAGAACCAGATATATCAATGCAACAAAAGCTCTCTCAGGTTCTCAATAATTTTTAAGAGTATAAAGGAGTTTTGATATTAAAAAAACTGAAAAAGGGCTTCTATCTTGAGTGGCACACATAGGGCAACTCAATTGCTCCTCATGCAAAATCAACATCAAGAGATTGCAGAAGTATAATTTCTTGGTACCCGGGCAGCTGGTGATCGTTGGTCCCAGGGCCCATTTTAAAAAAATAAAAAGAAAAATCTGAGAACTGCTAATTTAAGTCAATGGTCTCAGTGTCCAATTCCTGGATTATTTACTAAAATGCAAATTCCTAGATCCCACTCCAATGTATGGAATTAAAATATAATGGAAGTTCTTGTTTGCTTTTTGGTTTGGGTTTTTGTTTGTATGTTCGTTTGTTTGTTTTTGAGACAAAGTCTCACTCTGCTAACAGAAACTTGCAACTCTTGGGCTCAAGCAATCCTCTTGCCTCATACCTGTAGCTGGAACTACAGGTATCTGCCACTATGCCCAACTAGTTTTTCTATTTTTAGTACAAACAGGGTCTCCCTATTGCTCAGACTATTCTCAAACTCCTAAGAGCAAGCAACCTATTTACCTCAGCCTCCTAAAGTGCTAGGATTAAAGGCATGAGCCACAGAACCCAGCCAAAAGTTTTAGTTTTTGCAAATGATTTTTTTTTTTGCATCAAAAATGTAAACCACTGGTCTAAGAGCTAACATAAATGTAGATAAACCTCCATCACAATTTAAGTGTCAGCTGAATCAGCTTATACACCTGTTAATGAATAGTGAGGTGGGTCTATAGTCCTAGCTACTCAGGAAGCTAGGGTAGAAAGATATCTTGAGCTCAGTAGCCTATAGTGCCCAACAGTCACACCCATGAATAGCCAGTGCACTCCAACCCTGGGCAACATAACCCTCATTCCTGAAAGAAAAAAAGTTTATACAGGATTTCACTCAGGTTAGAGTATAGTGGTGCAATCACAACTCAATGTAACCTCAAACTCCTTAGCTGAAGCAATTCCCCCACTTCAGCCTCCTTAGTAGCTACAGTACTACAGGTGTGTGCCACCACCATGACTGACTAATCTTTTTATTTTTTGTAGAGATATGGTCTTGCTGTGTCACCTAGGCTGGTCTCTAACTCTCAGCCTCAAGCCATCCTCCTGCCTCAGCCTCCCAAAGCACTGGAAGCATGAACCAGTACACCTGGCCAAAAAATTTTTTTTAAATAATAATGATAAAAAATTGATTCCTAAATTTTGTAATGTTCCCTACTCCTTTCTCAAATCTATCCTTTAACTAGATTGTAAAATGTTCAGGGACAGTGGCCATTCTGTTTACTTTTTCCCACAGTCTTCCTGAAGTATATACATACACAGCAGGCATTAAATGTGCACTGCTCCTACACCAGTACCCTTCAGAAAAATGTGGTTTTGGGGGTTTTTTTGCAGTTTTTGGCCAGGGCAGGGTTTGAACCTGCCACCTCCGGCATATGGGGTCAGCACCCTACTCCTTTGAGCCACAGGCGCTGCCCAGAAAATATGTTATATTTGACAAGAAGCTAAACAGTAGTACATCTCAAGGGTTCCTGAACAGAAAGAGTCTAATGGCACTCTGAATAACAGTACCATTAATTCTTATATCTATCAACTTATGGCATCTGCCACAGTAACTCCATCTGGGAAGAGGCTGACCCATTCCAACCTCACATTCTGCAAGACTCACCTAGCATTAAATAATGCTGGATACTACAGTTGCTTAGGGTCTACAAGATGAGTCAGCAGGTAAAGCCATTTATGAGAAGCAATTTCATTACACTTCAAACTACAGAGAATCAAACTAGAGACAGCTACCACTGTTTACACTGCTGAACATACTGTGGGGTTTCACAAGCCTATAAAATCGCCTTTTGTCAGCAAGCCCCATTTTTCTTAGTTAGGAGTTAAGAAGCATCAGACTTAGCAGTTCCTGAAGCAAGGTGAACAATCCCTTTTCTCAAAGCACAATTAAGTTCTTATGCATCAAAATTAGGGTTACTGTTTTAATGGAATTTGTTCATTTCTGAAGATGTCAGAACTGCAAAGTGGGAAAGAGAGCATACAAAAACTATTTTTGTAACTAGAAATAGGAATGTGCCCTGGGTTGCAATAACCTTGTCTCTGCATAGACAACTAACATTATACATGCTCAGACACAGGAAAAAGTGCTTCCAATAACAAATGTCAAAGGAATAATTAAAGAAAAAAATTCACACAATGCTATTAACTATTTAAAGCACAGTGAAAATAACTGAAAACATGAGGATAAAATATTAATTACTAATCTTTTTTTGTGAAAGGCAAAGTAATCATGGAATTACTTGTCTGGTTTTGAGTATTTAACTCAGTTTCACTTCTCAGAGTCAAATGTAATTTATCTTTAATGATCCCTCTGCCATAGGAAGCTTCCTCTCCAAATACATTTTTCAAAATTTTGATTTCCAGTGAAGAATTAAGACTGAAAAACTGCCTTCTTGCCTCATCTCCAATAGTTTAATCTAGGCATTACACCCTGAGCACAAAACTAGGTAATTTCCTATTTCATTCAAAGGAAACTAAATTAACTTAATATTTCGAATTCCTAGATGAACTAACAAAGAAATACAGGTGTAAGTTATGTTTATATACCTGTACATCTATATATACTCATATATTCCCTTAGTACAGCATTTCTCAACCAGTGGGTCGTGACCTCTTTGTTAACAATGAAAATATATCCTGCATACCAGATATTTACATTATGATTCATAACAGTAGCAAAATTACAGTTATGGTAGCAACGAAAATAATTTTATGGTTGGGGATCACCACACATGAGGAACTGTATTAAAGGGCTGCGGCATTAGGAAGGTTGAGAACCACTGCCTTATACAATGACAAAAGTTGCCTTAACTTTTGAAGAGCAAGTATTTTCACATTAAGTGTACCAATATATAACAAGACATTATCCCTCAATTTTACTCACTTATAAACTACTGAATACAAACCTACAACTAATCATGCACTAATTGCAAACAAAGGCTGAAAACTTAAATTGTACAAGTAAACACTAAATACAGGTTGGATCATAATCATGGAAATTGACTTAGGTACAAATTTTCTTGAAGCTAGAAATCAAAGTATCTAAACATATTTCATAAATTTGAAAACTGCAGGTTTTGAAAGGTAAAATGAAAAGTTATCCTTAGAAAAGTATATACAACTCACTTAAAAGTTCCAAGTAGACCATCCTGTGCAAGAGTCAAGACTCCATCTCTTATTAAAAATAGAAAAAATTGAGCCAGGCATTGGGGTCCCCGCCTACAGTCCCCACTATTCAGGAGGCTAAGGCAGGGGGTTCACTTGAAGACAGAAGTTGGAGGTTGCAGTGAGCTAAGATGATGCCACTGCATTCCACCCAGAATTTGCCTCAAAAAAAAAAAAAAAAATAGGGTCTTGAGTAAAAATTCTAATTCACACATCAGTCTTGGATTTGAAGCTCTCACTACAAATATATAATACAACCCTCTCACCTAATGAGCTTCCATAAGGATATTTATAAAATGCAAACTAGCCATGTCATTCCCGAGCTCAGTTTTGTTTTGTTTTGTTTTGGAGACAAGAGTCTCAAGCTGTCACCCCGGGTAGAGTGCCATGGCGTCAGCTCACAGCAACCTCAAAATCTTGGGCTTAAGCGATTCTCTTGCCTCAGCCTCCCAAGTAGCTGGGACTACAGGTGCCTGCCACAACGTCCAGCTATTTTTTTGGTGGTAGTTGTCATTGTTGTTTGGCAGGCCCGGGCTGCATACGAACCTGCCAGCTCTGGTGTATGTGGCTGGCCCCCTAGCTGCTGAGCTACAGGTGCCAAGCCCGGTCCACAGTTTAGATGGCTCCCCTGTCATCTGGATGAGCTCCAAGCTCCTCAGTATGGCTTATAAGTCCCTTCCTGTGGCCTCTGATTATCTGTCCACTTTACTTCAAACCCTTGCTTTAGCAATAATGAACAAGTCATTTTTCACTGTCCTGTGTCTATGTGCTGATTCCTAGCTGGAATACTCTTTATCCCACTGCTATCTTCAAATGTCTCATTTATCCTTTCAGATTCAGTTTAGAGGTGCCCCTTCTTCTCTAAGAAGCTTCTGAAGTCACTCATTCCTCCCAATCATGTTCCATTAACCCCTTCAAGTTAAGTGATTCTCCACAGAGTTCCCAGAGGCTCTGTCCTTAATTCCTATTTACTTACATTTTTACCTATCTACCTCCTGAACTAGGACTATAAATTGAGGGGGCAAGGAAGGGGGGGAAAGCCTATGTCTTAGTTCCAAATCCTCCGTGTTTCCTGCACATACTGTGAGTGCGCAGTAAACATGTTAAATGATTAAGCCAGACTACATAAATAAGAATGCAGATTTCCCTTTAGAACCCATGAGAAAGTATCCTATTCCAATTCTGCTTTTTTCTACATTAACATGCAAAAGCTTGCCAAATCACCAGCTCCCACTTAGTACAAACACTGGACTAACAAAACAGTTCCCAACTTGTGAGCCAGTCTACTTCAGCCCACAAATACATCATACACAAGCTACCTTCAACATCAATCCACAAAAATGAGGCAAAGACCAGCTAACTAAAACAGTTCTTTTTCTTCTTCACAGAACTTATCAATTAAGGGTGCAAACACTGAGTTTATAACACTATGCTTAATTCCTAATTAGCATATAAAGATATTTTATTGAAAAATGTGAATTTGAATAATTTCATAGTAACTACTGCATAGAACCCAAAGAGCAGCCTATGAGTAACGAAGGGAAACAGTGACTTAAATATTTTTAAAACTTTTTAATTATAAAATATGTCATTACAGAAAATAAACAGAAGTACAGACTTATATCCAAACCAAAGCCTTTTAAGGACTAATTTTAGACTAGTAATGAAACACAAGAAAGAATTCCTTAAATATAGCAACAATTATTTAGGTAGAATTCAGTTTTTTGTCAAAAACTACCTGTCAAGTACTCCATGTCACTTCCTCCAGCTACATAAACAAAGCTCAGTGGGAACCTATTCCAGAAAGCTTAAAGTTTGTGTTTTCTTAGTCCTCCAAGTTCCTCTCAGCAGCTTCTTCCTCTTTTCTACTGCTTCCTTGTCCTCCTCAAATAACCAGACACTACAGAGACTACTAAGAACTATCGCTT